TATTTATTTAACCTTATTAACCAAACTATAATCATTATTAGAAAGACACTGCAATTTATCACTTTTAATTATTTACAAAATACTATTTGGGTTGTTTAAGTTAAATTAAAATTTATATTTAAGTTGACCATGTAATGTTATATTTAAATTAATATGGATCTCTTTGAGATGTCCTTCCCTTAGGAGATAGCTAATCTCCTTTCTGAGGGCTACACAATCCTCAGTGATGTGGCTGAAATCTTCACGGTATGTGCACCATTTCAACTTCTCTTTCCAGCCACTTGATTTCTCTCCTTTCCTTGGCCACCTTGCTTTCTTGCCAAGATCGTGCATGGTAAAGATTAGACCTTCTTCAAGTCTAATGAACCTGAATGTTCTACTTCTGACTTTGTCATTTTCCTACACGGGGTCATTACGAGATCCTCATAAAAGGGGGGATCCTTCTTTAAATCCATCTTAGAGGCTTCTACTGCAGTGACTATGTCGATATTAGGAATATTCAGCTCTTCCATGCGAAACTTGCTTACAAAATCTCTAAAGGATTTGTTAGGATCCTGGAGTACTCAATGGAGATCACTAGTGATCCTTTTGAATGTCCTGTTACAAGAAAATCGACTATTGAAAAGATTAACTAAATGAGCAAAAACAGTAATAAAGAGGAACACTGAGAAGCCATTTCAAGACTGATCCTATGAGGGTGGAATCAAAACAGGCTTCCTATAGATGTGTGGGAATGATGATGATCTTCATTCTTTCTCTGTATTACACCACACATTCTTTAGGATCAGTGGTTCCATCGTAAGGCTTCATGTTGGGTGTTTGGAAGCGCTTTGGGACTTCATCTATTGCAGGAGCAAATCTTGAGATTCTGTGGCTCGTGGGAGATACCTCTAGTATAGGTTGGACCACTCCGGGTACACATGAGATCATCTCCCTTAACTACCGAAGTTCCTTGCCTATGACCATATCATAAGCTTAAGTGTAAGAATTAGGGTTCCATATAACTCTTGGAATTTTACACTATATATGTAACCCACTAAATCCAAAAATCGACCTAAGAGTGACATTGCATGAGTGTGGACGATTTTGGAGCCTAAACTCTCTCATTTGTCTTCCAACTGTTCATGATGTTTGTGACTTGTTTGAGGCACAACACTTGGGGTGCTAAGCTCTTGAAAGGCAAAATTCTACAAGCTACAACAAAGAGGTAGTCTTCTGACTTACTTTTATGATTTATATGTCAAATTGTATGCTAGTTGTAAGCTTCATGCTTTAGAAAATTTTGTTGCATTTATAACTAGAGAAAACTTAGATCCAAAGCTATGAGGGTTGTATGTGCACCATAGGAGTGTTATAGTACATAAAACCCAACAGTGGTATCAGAGCCATGAGTGTTTTCTGTTATATAGATGCATAAATTAATTGTTCAAAGTTGAGAAAATTGAAAATCTGCACTCTGACAGGGGGGACTCGACGAGTCTATATATGAACTCGACGAGTTGATGATGAACTCGACGAGTCCATGAGCTGACTCGACGAGTTCAACAGTCTGTTTGTAGTTTTTTGGGTTTTTTTAGCCAGAATTGGATTTGGATCATTACCTTAAACTGTTTTGTATCATAAAAGCTATTTTTTTCTGATATGGTAATGATTTTCCCATCCAATTAAAAGATAGATTGTCAAATTATAAAATAATTACTAGATTATATGATAAACTAATTATTAGTGTAATTTGATTTGAAATTATCTTACTACAAAAGTTGTATTATGATCAAATTGGTAAACGATAAAATGGTTGTTTTATTAAGTTTAAAATTTGATCTAAATGTTTTTGGAGAGTTACAAAACTTGGATTTAAGTTTTGGAATTCTAAAAGTTTTTTAGGAGTTACAATATTTGTCATCAAATTTGGAACTCAAAAGTTTTTTTAAGGAGTTACAATATTTGTCATCAAATTTGAAACTCAAAAGTTTTGAAGAGTTTCATAACTTGTCCTCAAGTTATGGAACATGAAAAGTCTCATTCATAAAAAAAACTAACTCCATAAGTTATGGAAACCAAAAGTTTCAAGAGTTACAAAACTTGCCCTCAAGTTTTGGTATTTGAATAGTCCACAAATTATGAAACATCGAATTCAAAACATATGTAATTTGGAAAATTTTCAAAAGTGTAACTCATGGGTTCATAACTTAAAAAAATTAATTAAATAGTTTTAATTTTGAACTTTTATGTTTAGAACCTTGGTGTTTTGAATAAGTTTAATTACACAATTATGAACTTTATTAATAGTTAATTAAATGTTTAATTAAAAGAGTATTATTAAATCCATAATCATATGGTTTAATTTAATTAAATTAAAAGTCTAATTTATAGTTTAAACCACTTAGTATTTTAAATGTTTAAAATACACTCTTATATTACATAATATTAAAAGTTTAATGTATTATATATGTATAAGTTAAAAAGTCTTACCGTTAGTAGGCCTCATTCACGAAGCTAATCTATAAGGGGTGTTTAAGGAAGCGGTCTGTAAAATGACCGCCATTGGGTATCCACTCTTACCCACCTCACCCTTGACCAGTGGAGGGTCGTTAGCCGAACGGGTAGGATATGACACAAACTTCCACTAAAAGTAACTAAATATTTATAAATTCCCAATCTTAGTTACTTAGGAAAAATGTGAATTTGGTGCTAACCCATGAAATTGCACTTTGCACCTTGCTAAGTCGTTAGTGGAGCGTGTGTGGTTAAATGACACACTAATTTGGGACTAGCAAGGGTGGAAAATGGTAGCTTGATGTTAATCATGGATCAATGGAGCGTGTGTGGTTAACCGACACATTGATTAGGTGATATGTAACATCGAGAGTACCAAGCTAATTTGCATGGTTATTCACACCTTGTTTGTGATCCTCGACATCCCAGTCACAAACTTGAGAGGGCATAATCGAGATTAAACATGCTATTGAAAAGTTCAACGAATCTCAAAGAATCTGGGAATTTCAATTCATTCAAAACCTAAAATTCATTTTCGTTTTTCATGGTGGAAATTGGTAAATCGTCATTTACCTACCTTCAAAAATTTTGCAATTGGATTACAACACCCCTCTTCTGAATTGTAAAATATTGTGTTGGGTCCTAGCCTTAAAATTTCATTTTGGGTGTTATATTAAGGACTTAAATCAACTAAATTGAATTTCTCCCTTATAGATGTCTAGTTATGGCAACTATGGTCTTCCCGAATCTTTTGTAAAAAGCTTTCCTTATGAAGATGATGTCCCACAATTGGATCGTGGAAATGGATATCATGTTTCAC